ACGCACTACTGAGGTGTACCGTATTAGACAGTTCCTTCAAACAAACTGGTTGACAGATCGCGCTCATATGTAGCAGGATATGATGTTATTTCGAAAAAATAAGTTAGATAGAAGTTAGTAGGACTGAACTTAGCAAAATACATTTTTTGAATTGCCAGAAGAATTTAATTACAATTTCCGGGTGCTTTGAAGAAGTAATAAGAAAGAGGCACATGAGACCAAAAATGCCTGTTCTTAGCTCAATTGGACCAATGTTAAAGTCAAATTATTCTTCTTTATTGGCTTAGATACCCCTCAAGCGGTTATAGGATAATTCTTCTCTGATAATGGTGTGTCTGTATGACAAAAAGGAATTGAATCGGACTTATACTTTCCCTGGCTTTCACATACCAAATATTAAGGGTTTCGAATTTCCGGGTGAATTTGTACTGCATATTTCGCCAATTTGTTAGTTAACTAAATAGAAATGAGGAAGCGTGACTTGCTCAAGTAGTGTATATRACTGGATAAATTTGAGCGAAAACTTTTCAAACATCCGTCTGACTTTACTCCATACAACTGGCTTTTTTGTATGTTCCATTCTAATTGTATGTGGTATAGGTAAATGATAAAATCTGGTCTATACTGCCCCAACTTCCACATACAAAGTATAATTCGGTCTTCCTTTTTCTAACAAACCTTTTGTGTCTGTCAGTATAGGAGTTGYAAATATGTAGAACATATACGTCTATACAAAATTGCTTTTATTTCGTTCTAAAACTTAAATTATTTCCCTGTCTTTGTTTCTTGCAAGTTGCAATAAATATATAAAATGTTCAGTTACCGCCGAACTTAGCAGTTTCTAACTTGCTTTAAACAAGTTTTTGCAAAATGACTTTTTTAACATACCATAAAYTCTGTAACACTTCATAAAGYTAAAAGCGAAAACCGCTATTTTTTWAATTATATCACATTTTATTWACTTAAAATATTACTWARMATTAKATTATAATACTKTAACTAATATTACACAGTACTTAGGTAAAGCACCTAAATTAAGTWGGAATWTGCTGGCCTGTTAAGAAWGCAATTTGCTGCTGGTGGAAGATCAGCYTTAGRTATGTTTCGTCGTAYAGCTGCTGRAGTTGTTGYTGTTGMAGTTGYARTAGTTGTTGTTGCAAWATATGYGCTTGTTGYTGATGGAACTGCCACACCTGCTGCTCATGCATTGCCCGCTGAGTGGCATCTATTTCTTGTGGCGTGGGGAAATAGACTGCGTTCGGCAACTCGGSATGCGTTACGCCATTAAGTAAAGGCCCAAATRCAGTTCCATTGYCAGCAATACAACCARCGGCCAATTCCGRACTCACTGTCCAATAGTTRCCACGTCCGGGRTCGCCCAAAGGTCGTGGTACCTTCAGGAAATGTRAGTTCGTGCTCAGTGTCTGTCTTATCTGATTCTGCCAGCCTTGCTCATCTTTTCGGTAGTAAGGAAAGTTTTCACTAATCCAGTTCTGTATAGCACTCAAAGTCAGTTTACCCTCAGGGCTGCTGCGAATCGCCATGGCCACCAATTCGCTATATGTATAGTTGGGACGATTTCCGCAGTTTCCTTCGTTAGACGACATCGATTCGTTTGGTGACATGGATGTATCAGATGGTGGTGGTGTTAGTGCTGTGTTGGTGCCATCTTCATTTGCTAATAAGTTACGAATCGAGAAGCTTGATTCTAGATGTTGGGCCATTGTGAATAACTGTTTGGAGACCTGAGTGGTTGTGAGCTAAATAAAATCTCAAGTGATATTCTGTGTGGAAGTCAAAAGGTGACTGATGACTTTTGCTTTACAAATTTTCCTTTTTATACCCTAAAGCATTTCTGTATTCCAAAGGATTGGGTTAACTTGGGTTGACTTTTGGCCAAAGTGCGGGAAGGAAATCAAGGTCACCAAAAGAGATCTAAGCTGACACAATAAAACCGAAGTAAAAAGTCCGACGTTCTRAAGTCTAGCAACGTAAGGACAATGTAATTTAAGAACAATAGAAGACAGATCTGCCAAAAAATATCTATAAAAGAATTTGGTAATATCTCAGGTAAAATAGCGACGCCGMCTTAGTTATTAGTATACTAAGTTCACCTATACTTTTAGTGTTCTGAATAACGGACAGGTAGACGAATGGCGCTTATCTCTAAGTAGTGGATGTTCGGTAGTTTTTGGGTGTGGTAAATGTTCAAGGTAACCTAGAGGTTATCCAGTAATATATACTTTTCAAAGCTACATGGTTGACCGACGAAATTCCCATGTGTAAAAGAGACTATGCTATTATAAAGGTACTTCTCTGCTGAGAAGAAAAGAGTTCACAGCTCAGACAATTAAGAAAATTTTCCTGCAGACGTCATTTAGAGCAGCATTGATCTTTTACCTGAAATAAGCTGGCTTTTGTTTTCARAATATATTGTTTGAAGATATTTTTTATCCTCTACTTATGAAGTATGGTATGSTATCTTAGAAYAAACRGCCWGTTTTTAAGGCCGCWSTKGTGGGCCRCATGGTGACCTTTTTTGCGTAATTTACTGGAATAACCTCCAACCTACCGCGTTTGGGAAATATTGCTCCGTGAACACAGAGCTGGCAGCAGGTGGTATGTTGTTAAAGAACTGAGCCTTGGTCATGGTATAATCCCCTGTGATAGAATGTGATGTGGTTGTTTTTAGTGACCCATTGTAGAATATCAAAAATATATTTCTTGTATAGCGTAACTTATGACTGATGTTTGAAAAAATAATTTTGAGTTACTATGTTTTCGTTTGTGTACCAGAAATCCCACATATTGTCCAAATATTCATGCAGTGTAAAATAACATTTTTTTTTTTTGGCCCAGAATTTTATTATGTCATGTAGTCAAGGCCATCGGAAAGTGTTATAGGTTATGCAAAACGCAATTACAGTAGCCGGACAACCGCACTGAAGTACAATGCGATCAAGGTCAAAACATCCCTGCCATAAAAGACGTGAAGCAGCTATTATTCGTTAGGGTATTATCCGCGGCAACCGTAAAATTATTGTACCCGAATGACTAAAAGAGTTTGAGAGCTATGTCTTTATAAGACATAATTTTATTGAAGCTCAGGTAAAATATAGTCGCTCAGTGAATAAAAATAACTGTTTAGTGGTTGGTTGGTGTTCTTGTTTTGTTGGGAGAAAAAGGTGGTGTGAGCTACGTGCCGGYCTTTGAACAGATTTCAAGTTTTATAACTCAGAGCTGGTATAAATGTTGCTATGAAGAGTAGCAACAAGAACGAAATTATATAAAAATAAGAGAAAAGATATTCACATTTGGTTCAAATGGATTCTGTTCTTTTTTTTTTTTGTGTTTTTTTACGCAGATAACTTGATACCGTTTACGATTTGAGCAAAATATTAGTCAAGTGTCCACCAATGACTAATTTTATACAATGCTATATTTTATTTCATGGCTCCRGCATTTTCTGCCTCARTGTGGCCTGATGTTGCCGCCAAACYACAATGCACACCAAATGGGGTAAAWCCACGRAGATTTGACCCTCCATTTAGCTAARAATGWGCATGGTCTAAGAAGACGATAAAGCTCTTAGAGCTTGGATAATTTACAAAAATCAATCAAAAAGRAAAGTAAACGAATCGTTGGAATAAATTAGATGTTAGTGTTGTTAACACGAGAGTAGTAAAATCTTTTAAAGATCGAAYAGGACAATTCGTAGTTAATAGATATAGAATTTGGAGGAGTATTTATAGTCAAAATTTTGGTCAGAGCTTTTAATGTCTCGTATACGAATAAATATATCTTAAGGGTGTGYGCTTCTTTGTATATAAATTTTAAACGAACGGAGGTGTTCTCTTATTAAATTTTATGCAGCCCGCAAAAAACAGGAATCATAACCTTTTACTTTCATCATACTTCTTAATTAAATCAGTGTTCTTCCCTGCTTTTCGGTCTTCTTAAATGCGGTAAGCAAATTGCAAGGTAAATGGACTTAAAGTTGCTGCCACAATGCTTTGTGGCACTGCAGCAAGTGTTGCGCATTTATATACGGTTTCCGTTCATTTTTCATTTGCATCATTTATCTCGCAATATCATTCAGAATTCATATGAACCGTTATGTGTAACTTAATCTGTGTGCTGCGGCAGAGACAAAAGCAAGTGCAAGCAAATAAATATAAAACAAAAATATTTTTTGTTTAATAACAATGATGTTATGCAAAGTGTGTGCCACGCAAGCGGAGTTGGGCCAAGCTTTGCATAAAATTTTAGGGCGCTTAGAGATTGTGTGGGCTTCAACTACCTTCATTTTTATACGAGAAGATTTGCTTTTGCAGATTAACCAAATTGTTAAGCCAGCAATATTTTTCTTTGTTCGTTTTTACTTAACGATTTAACTTGGAATTGAACTCAAGGCATTTGGCGCGTCACTCGAACGCATACACACTTTGTGAAGCCATGTGGCAGCTAACTTTTCGCACCAACACTCATACAAGTGCACTTTTGAATGGATATGGACGCCAGCAATACAATCCATTGTGAATTTAACCTTTTTTATGATTTCTTACGCGAAATAAGGTGGCGGAAGTGATGTCGTCCGCTGGTAACTGCTGTGTGCCAGCAGCAAGTGGCAGCTCCACACAGCATGTGTGCATATTTGCACSTGCCTGTATGTGTTTCGCAGGCATTGGAGCACGAATGATTCAATTCTCCGCGGAATGCTGATGCAAGTAGTATGAGCGCAAAAACGCTGAAGCGTGGCTGAGCAAAAGAAAACAGCGAGCAAGAAATTATTCCATGCAATATAACTTAGCAGTGGGAATTGGGAGGCGGCGAATATCGCAAACATTCATCACAGTAATCATTCGCGGCCCAACCTGAATGCAAGACGAATTTCATTCATTACACATATGTATGTGTGTATGTTTTTGATGCTGAGTCTGTAAATATATGCACGCTTTGGTGGCAGGCTGCGTCAAACAAATAATGTACAGCAGCTTGACTTTTGTACCTTTTGCTCCCTGGAAAATTGCAGCGTGTTGTAAAGTGTAAGGCGAATAAAATAATTGAAGTAAAGAAGTTTTAAGATCAATCAACACCAAACTTTAATGGTCAATGCAGACATGGTGAGAATAATTGTTGGTTAATAACGGAAAATATCTCTATAGTGTGACCCCTGTTGAAATATTGAACAGAATCGAGTTGGAAGAGAAAYGCAAAATTCAGTACTGGACTAAAACGAGCATGTCTGAAAAGTCTGAAATATAACCGTATTGCTAATGTTAACATATTTTTGAAATATTCTAAAAGCCCAACATCCTAACGTCTTCTACAATTTCGTCTATGTGGTTAACAGATATTAGTCATCAAAACCACTACCTTAAACATAATGCATTTCATTCAAAGTTTACTTTCCAATATTTAAAACCCTATCGTAGGTTCTTAGCTAGTTTAATCCCCTCTCAATTCAAGAAATCTTCACAGAAAAAAGTGCCAAAGCTGGAACTAAGAATATTCGAATAAACGAGCCTCACTTCTACCAACACGGCTGATTTTAATAAGAGAAGTAAAGCTTTTAAGACTTTTTTTTTTAATTTTATTAACTTTTAATACTATGACGTATATTATATTTCTTAAACTAATATCACAAACTATTTTGATATCTAGATTAGAAAGGAATTTGTGTTTGATTAACTTYATCGCACCGCTGCTGAAGATATTACTATAGCAATAAATAAATACTAGGTAAAGTATCACTTAAGCTGATATTTACTGAGCGTTTAGAAGCGCCATTTGTTGTTAGTGGTAACTAAATTGTTGATACACTTCCTCGTACTGCTGTTGAATCTGCTCTTGTTAGAGGACTATTAGTTGCTGATGCAGGGGTTGCTGGTGATATTGCTACCAGGCATGGAATAACAGTATCTCATGCGGTGTGGGGAAGTACACCGCATTTTGAGTCCTTRAGGATGCGGGTCACCATTCACCAGTGCTCCTTCTGGACTATTCGCTCAATAATTTCCACGCCGAGGATCATTTATAGGTCAACGAATTTAGCAAAAACAACAATCGTCCTCAGAGTCTGCTTTAACCTATTCTGCCAGCCATGCTCTTCTTTACGGTAGTAAGGGAAGTTTTCACAGATCCAGTGCTGTATAGCATCCAAAGTAAGTTTGCCTTCACGACTGCTATTCAAAATGTTGAGCCGAAAATTCGTTGGTGAGCTCTTGCTTTTATGTCTAGAGACTTAGCGACGAAGTGGAAATCAGATTTTCCTCTAAGTTTTTTAAAAAACTTAAATAACGGAAAATGAAACAAGCCAATGTGGACAACATTGCATGTAAAAAGATGACAGCGCACTTTACAAGCATTGAGGAGTACCTACAAAAAAAAAAAAAAAAAAAAAAAAAAAAAAAAAAAAAAAAAAAAAAAAAAAAAAAAACAGCATTTCCTCCTGTGTTTGTAAATTGAAGGAAACCGCTGTCAATTTTCTAGCCACCTGCAATTTTTCGTTTTTGCGCCAATACTATTTTCGATTTTGTTTTGCGGTTTAAATCGTTAAGCGGTGTTGCGGGTTCGACTGTTGCATAACAGTATTGTGCAGTAACACAGAGAAGTCGCCACCACCAGCCATTAAAATGGGGAATGCATTAGTGTGGCTTGCGATAAAATTGGAAATATGCAGACATGGAGAAATTCGCCGAGGTTACTCATACGCCATGGTTAGCAATGATGTTAACTACATACAAATATATTATGTTTGTGTGCGAAGTTTTCTGAATTGAAAATGGCATGACCATTCGTAATATAATTTAAATGCTTATTTTTGATTTATTTACCGTTATATGCATTGTGGCAAAGTGTGGTKACTTGTATGACCAACAAAGAAGAAACATGGATCTATGTATTCTTACTGAGAACACTTCCGTGAAAATTCCGAACTATGAAAAATTCACCTTTATAAATAAAAATAATTTGAGAGCTGCTGTTATAACCAGTATGAGTAAATAAAGGATGAATATGTGGTTACATATGTATGTAAAAGAGAATTTGGTATATACATATACAATATGTGTCTACATTTACAAAAACCATTCCTATACACTGTCAACCCATTTCAATTTAGCGACAGTCCTCTTCACTCTACAACTATCAGAGCTACAATTCAATTTCAATTTTATTTAATTTTAAAACGACCATACGAGTGCAATATTTAAATAAACCTCATATACCTATACTAATATTTATAATATATAACTGTATATTAATAAACGTAGTACTCACACACATGCGGCGGTTTCATTTATCAACCAGACTAGCCAAAATAATAAACACTTTCATATGAAACTCTAACTCGGTATGCATGTGTGTGACAACCTTTGCGCTGTCTACTCTCAAGTGCTTCAACTCACCAGCGGCAGGAGCTGCTGTTGTACRTGCTGTGGTTGTGTGTGTGTACTTTTGCCACCTAAATGGGCTTGACACTTCATAATTGAAACGTTTGCACAATCAGTAGTATGGACCAAATATTTTAGTGTTTTCTGCTGTTCATATTCAAACATAAGCTCACACAATGTATAAGCACACATTTGCATACTAAAATAACAGACATGCATAAACGCAAATGTGTGTATGCATGTGTGYGTGCGTGCATGTTTKTGTATGCGCATAAAATAATAAACATTCAACAACTGAAACACGCCACATATTGCCGTTGAACCCTTTTTATGCAGAGCCAACCCGAAAAGCTCATAATCCGCTTTGCTACACACACGCACACAGGCATGGGCACTGCTGTATATGTGTGTATACAAATGCCGAGGCATTTAGATGTGGTCGAGTAAATATTCATGTTAGGAGCAAAGACGATTTGACAAAACTTTTTGGGTTTCGCCAACAAAAATGGTTGCCTGCTTGTCCAACACTGCTTCTGTAAATAGTGTTGGTGTTGAGGCAAATACAGCGTGGCTCTATGTAAATGCCTGAAGACAGCCATATCTTTCACACGTATTTATAAAATTGTTACATAACTTGCTCTTGCTTTATTTTTATGAGAACACACACTTTACTTTACTTACATTTTTTGTTCAGATTGAACTTTTTAATTAAACAATATCTTAGGCCCGTCGCCTAATGTACTTAAGGTTTAAGGAAAATGAAATAAATTTGTACATACATACATATAGCTTAGATACATACATATATGAAGCTTGAAGGGGATTAATTTTGAATGTTAAGAATATCTATTTACACWTTCATAGAATATTCAAGATTAAGTCAGACCGATATGAATATATTTCAGTATATTCTTCTTCTTCTTGATTGSCGTWGTCACCGCTTACGCGAYTATAGCCGAGTTAACAACAGCGCRYCAGTCGTTTCTTCTTTCCGCTACGTGGCGCCAATTGGATATTCCAAGCGTAGCCAGGTCCTTCTCCACCTGGTCCTTTCAACGGAGTGGAGGTCTTCCTCTTCCTCTGCTTCGCACGGCRGGTACWGCGTCGAATACTTTCAGAGCTGGAGTGTTTTCKTCCATCCGGACAACATGACCCAGCCAGCGCTGCCGCTGTATTTTAATTCGCTGAACTATGTGAATGTCGCTCATCGTTCCATCGAATGCGATATTCGCTGTGGCCAACGCGCAAAGGACCATCAATCTCTCGCAGAACTGTAAGTATATTGTATCGATATTTAACAGGTTAATATATATGTACATATATATAAGACATACATATGTATGATAACAATATACTAAGCCAATATTGATACTGGATTGCAAATTTCGGTACTCCGAAAGTTTATAGATAGATAGATGAAAATATCGATTTTTGATTTTATTGATTTCGGGATCCCGAAAATTTCCGGGACAAATAAGGTTGCATAACATTATTTTCGTGTAACATTATAATTTCTTGCAATTATTGATTTCGGGATCCCGAAAATTTCCGGAACAAATATGGTTGCATAACATGATTTTCGTATTTCTATGAATTTTTTTTGCAATTTTTAATTTCGGGATCCCGAAAATTTTCGGGACCCATAAGGTGGTATAATATGATTTCAAATTACCTTGATAATTTTCTTCTTTTTTCATTTATATAATTCGAGATTCCAGAACTTGTTACGGATTGACTCCATCGGGACACATCCATATCTATAACATATTTACAAACATCATTAGGCATATAAATTCCTTTTGTTCCGGTAGCTTAATGTAGGCTGCTCTGATTAGTTTATCTGCTTCAGAGTTACCAATAATATCTCTGTGTGCTAGAACATTGCACGTTTATTGTCTAAAAGCACGTTAGATCCACTAAGAGATCAACGCATTTCTCCACTATCTTCAACGAAACCAGAAGAGAGTTTAGTGATTTCAAAGACTTTTGGCTAATATTTACGAAYTCAGGTGGCCTTTTAAATTTTGGCAACCCAAGTGTTGCAAACTTGCAACTGACAACTTTATCGTAAAGTTTTTTTTTTTTGAAGTTTAATATACTCAGAACTTTTTGATATTCGGCTACTCGTGTTTTTTACAGTAGTTTGAAATATTACTCTCTGCCAAAAAACGAAATACGCGAAAGTCGTCTAAAATCAGTTGTTGCTGCGCAAACTGATATTCCAAAAACATCAGCTATAGAATATATCTATCTACAAACATCAGTCATCAACAGTACACATTTTTGCCCTCCGATTTTGTTCAGTTCAACATATCTGAATATATAATATAATATTCGCTAATTAGAATCGCCTTATGAGATTTTAACTATGTTCCTTTCCTCCAAAGGTTTTGTGAATTTGAGATTTTACAACGTCAAATATTTAAGTAAAATCTCCATAAAATATTTTGTTACCAAATCTAAGGGAACAAAAACCATATATTACCAAAGCTGAAGCTAAAGGTGTTCAATAAATTACAAAGAGGATAAAAGGGGTATGACTTCAATCAACACGGAGAATTAAAGTTTATAATATTTCTGTTTTTTTAATTTTATTAACTTCGAATAATTATATTATTACTGTAATGCTTAAACTAATATTAATAAATATTTGGATGGTAAAATTAGATAAAGGTTTGCTTTTTTTACACTTAATTATATTGCTGTGAAAGATATTACTGGTGCAATTGCCGATGTAATAAGTTGTTGATGATTCGAAAASCGTCCTTGAACTTTCTTCCGATAGATAAAATACTACCTACGCTGATATTTGCTGATCCGTAAGAAAAGTAATTTGCCGTTTTTGAGATTCGAGYTGTTGATGCATTTCCTCGTATTGTTGTTGAAACTGCTGTTGCCGCAACGCCATGATCATCTGCTCTATGAGTTGGGCTTGTTCCAAGTGGTATTGGTACCAGGTTTCTTGCTCTTGTAGCGCCTGAACCAACATGGTCTGATGAGCTTCCTGCATTTCTTGTGGCGAGGGAAAGTACACCGCATTTGGAGCCTGAGGATACGAWACACCATTCACTATTGCCCCAATTACCGCCTCACTGCCATCAACCGGCTGCTGAGCCTGAAGTGCTCCCTCTTCTGGACTAATTGCCCAATAACATCCACGCCCAGGGTCATTTATAGGCCGACGAATTTTGCAAAAACAAGAGCTTGTACTCAGAGTCTGCTTYAACCTATTCTGCCAGCCATGCTCTTCTTTGCGATAGTAAGGGAACTTTTCACTGATCCAGTTCTGTATAGCATTCGAAGTAAGTTTGCCTTCAGTACTGCTACGKATTGCCATGGTTATCAACTCACTGTAKGAATAGTTGGGCCGACTGCCACAGTTGTCTTTGTCAGGCGACATCAGCTCGTTCCGTGACTTGGATCTATCAGATGGTGGTGGTGTTAGCGCTGGGTTAATACCGTCTTCGTTTGCTAATAAATTACGTATCGAAAAGTTTGATTCAAAATGTTGGGACATTGTGGATAACTGCTTAAAGAGCTGAGTGTATATAAGATAAGCTCTCCAGTGATATTCTGTGTGAAAACCAGAAGATGACTGATGATTTTCATTAAATGTTTTCCTTTTTATACCCTAAGTTATTTCAGTGTTGCAAAGAGTTTGTCTAACTCAAGGTGTCRAAATTGCGGTCTTAAAATCAAGGTCAAGAAAAAGGATTAAAATTAACGTAATTGCTATAAAGGGTCTTCAAAAAATCTGATGTCCTAAAGTATAGTATCTTAAGAACAATGAAGTACAAGAACAATAGAAAAGAGAAGCTCTCACCTGGAATATCTTTAGATATTTTAAACATAACAGGTAAAAGAGGTACGCTAATAAAGCTCATATTCAGCCGTACTTAAGTAACCTTTTTTTAATTGCTGCGAATAAAACGCAGCTATGGAACATGTTCAAGGCAACTAAGTTTAGCCGTTATCCAGTAATTTATTTTTCAAGGCGACGTCGTTAATTCATTAGTATCAAAAGTATAAAAGCTTCTTAGGATAAAATTAATATTTCAAGGTTAAACCTCAAATCTTGTTGTTTGCATTGGTTGGAGTTGATTTAAGTTTATCTGAGAAAAAGCATTGATTCTATATAATACTAGTTATATTTGAAATAAGTTTTCGTTTTTATCATTATTTATCGGTTTTTTTTTTATCAATTAATGCGTTATCTTTTCATGAAAAGTTTTTGAAAACTCAGTACAGTCGGCGCTCAATTACCCTAGAACAGAAGAGAAATTTGAAAGCACAGACAATATAAACTCATTTTCCAAGAAAATAGTTTGACTTAGCGTCGATCGTGTACCTGCAAGAGGGTTTGCATGAAATGCTCCGTACCATTTCTTTGGTTTCAAACYCTATTGTTTTACGATCTAGTTTTATGGCAGGTGTTAGACAAAGAAAAAAACATATTTCGCTTGTTTAATATGGACAAAAATTCGCCACCATATTGTGACCTTGCTGATGTAATGTTTGAGAACCAGTGATGACCTTGGTTTATAAGCACATTTGTAACGGTAATTTGATTTAATGAAGCGCTTTGCGTCACAGAAATGCAGTRAGTTTTGGCYTTTGYAAAGAATAATACAGRAGAATTTAATTTACTWMGCCCTGTTAAMACCACAATGACTTATCATTTGGATTAAAGAGTTTACCAATCCAGCACTAAAACCACCATTATCTAATAGATTTATRTTAACGACTAATTCGAAGACATCTAACGAAGAGAACTATAGAAGTCTGGTCAACTAAACATGTAGTGCGTTGGAGGAATTGTGAAGTGCGTAAGTTCTGAAGCAAAAAAATGGAATTAATTTTTTACGCGATTATTTCTCATAGCTTTCGTCATAGATTATCTCAGCAATAATGTATCGATGAGCGTAATTCATATAGGTGTAGAGTTACTGTATGATTAATTCTACTCTGATTTTGTTGTCTTTTATACATTACCGACCAAAGAAATATAGAAAAAAGTTCGAAAATCGTTATGGTGTTTCAAGAAAGCTCCATCGTCCTAATTTACATGTGGTCTGATTCAAAACAATTTGCTTCTGGGAGACCCTGTTTCAYCTTTGTAATGTATATATTTTTTTATGAATGTAGAATGTTTCTTTAAAAGTTGAGTTTTTTACAATAAATCTTGCTACTGATGTAAAAATTATTGGAAGATTTGTAATTAGTTCAATTGCGTCCGAAGAGCTTTAGAAATATTATGGACTCACTGAGTTTTTATTCGAAATTTCTTCAACCGGTGAGGTAGATTTCATGTATTATTAATGACTTAGCAGTATTTGTAAGGTTTGGATTCATATTTTGAAATTTTTTCAGTATGTTTATAAATATCTGGTCGAAGAGACATCACAACTTTTGCCCAGTTGAAGTAAATTCTATTCATAGATCTCACATAAAATGGCAGATATTTCAAAAGGACGCTCAGTACTCCGAGTTTACTTAAAAAAAAAAAAAAAATAAGGGAAAATACTGTGGAAAACTACTTATCTCTTGAATCCTGTCGTGAGCTGTGAAAAAATCGCTGCGTGACTTTGCCAGTTAGAGGCATGTGTAAACTAGGAAGGCGGTGARCTCGTGCCATCCACAGTCAATAGCGCTAGAACACGCAATCTAAATAAACAAGTATGTATGAAACGGACAACAACAACAAGTAATATATCTAGTAAAATAATTGTGACTTTAAGCCCAAACACAGCAAGCTGCGGCTTATCAGCCGCTAAAAGTCAAATTGCCGTCACCATTCAGCAAAACATTACTACGTTCAGCTATGTGGTGGAGTGGTAGCGAGGGTAATTAGGGTGCTGCTTAAGCGACACACTAACCAGCATTAATATATGTTACAACATGCGAGTTAAACGCACGCACATTTGTTGCATTTACTAAATGCTAACTGCTTACTATATTCTCAGTATGCCTGCGCACATTTTTATTGTCTGCCTTAGAGCCACATTAGTTATATTAGTTGTGCGGGTGATTGTGCGCTCGTTCTTATGTATTTATTATTATTTTACCACTTAAAGTTTACTACAGGGATTTGTTGGTTGTGGCCACAGCGCAGCACAAGCAAATAGCAAACTAAGCGAGTGAGCGTTAAATGTTTTGTTAGAAAAGTAATTGTTATGCGTTTATTTGTTGTTGTTTCTATAGCTCTTATAGTGTTATTGTTGCATGAATTATGTTGGCAGTCGTTGAATGTAACAGATGTGCACGTGTAGTTCTGGTGGATATAAATTTAAATAAAGTCAAGCATATGTGTGTGTAAACAGTAATGCGTTTTGTTGTTTTTGCAGTAAATATTATGCATGCGAAGTGCAAAATAAATAGCAGCACATTTCACGCAGAGTTCGCATATTTGTTCAACGCTATTCAGGTCAGTCGAGTTCATCGTTGCCAGTCGGATAAACATATTATATATAGTATGTATATTGTAACGCCAGCAAAGAGGATTGGATTGACTCGAAGTATGATGTTATTATAGAGAAGTCGGAAAACCTTCGYAATTCTTTTTTGACAGGAGTAGAAAATCACTATGTTGGGTATATGTGGGAAACAGTTTCTCTGACCCTCATAAACCGATACAACACCTTTTTTAGGAATACAACTTTAAAATATCGTATTAGTCGTTATATATATATATATAGTATTGCACAGTTAGGATGCGCCATACCCAATGAATAAGTTCCAAACTGATTATAAGATGTATTCCTACCATGCTGAAACGTCCTCCAATGATATGTGGCTGATCGACTCTGCCGCGTCCCGAACTATGTTTGGAACCTAGCAGCATAGCAAGATTCATCAAGCTACCTGGAACTTCGGAAATTTTTTTTTTTTGGATTTGGTTCGAATAATAAATAACATCAAGGAATCTGCATAAAAAACAGAAGCCATTTGGACAAAATTTGAATTTTTTTCTATTATTTTTATATTACGTCGATCTCGTGGGTACCATTTATAACAACATTTTTACCAGCTCTGAGTTATAAAACTTGAATTTTGCTAGTGGGGATAACAAACTCGGAGACCGTCATGTAGCTCACAAAGTTTTCTCCTCACAACAAAAAAGAACGTCTCTTTTCTACCACCCCACAGTTAGATTCCTTCACTACATTTCACTCRTCGCCTAATTTATACCTGAGCTTCAAGAAAGTTATGTCTTATAAATATTCTCAAACACCTTTGTTCATTCAATAATTACATTGTTGCAGGGATAATACTCTAACGAACAATAGCTACTTTCCGTCACTTAAGGCAGGGATGTTTTGACCTTCTTTGCATTGTGCTTCAGTGCGGTTTTCAGGCTACTGTAATTGCGGGTCACATCAGCTATAATACCTTTTGATGGCCTTGAATACATGACCATACTTTTCATGTAAGTTTTACGTAATATTCTACAATTCAGGAAAATCCCAATTTAGATTATATGAAAAAATTAGTCAATATGCGCCATTTAAGGTACACAAATGGAAATATGGTAATTCAASATATTGTTCATATCATCACTAATCAATCATACTATTTACTTCTATACAAGAAATATAATTGTGGGGATCTGCAATGGCTCACTAAAAACAACCCCATCCCATACTATGGCAGAAAAGCTCAGTTCTTTGCCAATACCAATTCTGGGTTCCTGGATCAATATATCCCACGCCCGCTAGGTATGCCGATTATTCCGGTAAATTACCAAGACAAGGTCACAATGTAGCACGCCACTGTGGCATCAAAACTGGAAGTGTTTGTACTGAGCTGAGCATACTTCACAAGTAGAGGATAAAAATATTTTAAAAGAATGCATTCTGCAAACAAAAGCTAGCTTATTTCACGTATAAGATCAATGCTACTCTAAATGACTTCTACAGAAAAGTGTTCTTGACTGTACTTCAAACTCCTTTATTCTCAAAGCTCATTAAACTAGTGCCTTTCAAAAAGCTTAGTCGCTTTTACGCAATAGTACTTCATTGGTCAACCTTGTCGCCTTGAAAAGTAAATCCACTACTTAGACGTAAGCGCCATTCGTTTACCTGTCCCTTATTCAGATCATTAAAAGAAAAGGTGAACTTAGTACTCTGATAATTGAATCGTAAGGTATTAACCCCGCAACAATATAATTATTGAAGGATCTAAGATGTTTGAGAATATTTATAAAACATAATAATATTAAAGTTATGAAACATAATAATTTAGTGAATGAATGTGACTGTGGGGTGCTAGGGATGCTCATACGAATTAAGATACGTTCTGTATTGTTGTAGCAATATTTGTATATATCGGAAAAGCCTTCAAGAGCATTTTAGTAAATTTGTGGTCTTKATTATGAAAATGAATTCTACCGTTTAAAAACTACTTTTGGGAGTTATCTTCAAACGTAATATGTCATTGCAGCTTTCTCGTGCAATTTCTGTTTCAAAAAGGCTCAAGAATAAAACTAGTATTATATATATTAGGGAAAAATAAGCTAAC